CAGAATGATAGACAGACCCCGTAAGACAAAATAATTTCCAGAAAATTTGTTTTTATATTTTGTTTATATTTTTTTAATTTATTATATAATATAAGTATATTTATGGATCCTGTCGTCAGGTGTGGCGACTATGATGTTTCTCTGAGAAGCTCGAACAATTGCAACACATAACGCTGATAAAACACCGACGCCGAAGTTACAAAACAAAGGAACACAGTCTCGCCATGGTTTGCCTAACAACATTAATTTTAAAGTTTTGTAGCCTAGGGGTCGATCACAAGTGAAAACATAGCATTGTTAGGCACCTTCGCTTGTTTCTCAAGATGCAGCTATAAATACGAACGTCTATCAATGAATGCCTTTAAGCGTCACTGTGGAACTAAACGAATTGTCTGCTCTACTGAGAGACATTACAAACCGTGGTGGAATGCAAGCGGAGTTCGTCTGGTAGGTCTGCTGTAAGGTCATTGCCCTCACAAGGATCCACAATGTTTTGAACTGTTCCGCCTTCAAAGCACTCCTCCATAACAGGCAGAGGCAAAGGCGTGACTTGTGCTTTTTATCTACTTTCCTTGTTCTCTGAGAATGGTTTAGTTTCGTCTCTTCTATTCACTCCGTTTGATGACCATGAACCCGTGAGCATAGCCTTAGTAAAGTCCTATTGTCCCGGACCGAGTCCCACACGAAATGTATAGCTCTTCATGAGAAGCTGTTTGTCTCGAAATTTCTCACATTTGTGTCAGACACGAAGGCTCATTATCATGTACAAAGAACCGCTCCACAGGGCCTTATACACTACACGTCGCCACATACTGTTTTTCAGGATCCAATTCAAAATTGTTCTTCTGCAACTCCCACGTTTTTCAGTCGTTTTAGAATTCCAGATAAATATTTTGTATGCATTTCTCATTTCGCCATGAGTGCTAAATAAAAATGCACCTCATTTTTATCCTCATTTTCTTATTTTTAGAAATAAACAGAGGCTTATGAGATCACTTCCTTGTCTGCGTATCCGTCTGTCGTTCTGTCTGTCCGTAATTTTTGTTAGAAAGCTTATGAGATCACCTTACAGTCTGTTTATCTGTGTCCCCTTTAATTTTTTCCTTTTCCTATGTGCTCCGTAGAGTATTAAAGAGGCTTATGAAATCACTTAGATGTATGTGTGTCCACCATAATTTTTTCGTTTTCTGTGCGGTCCGTGTCATATCAAAAGAAAGAAGGCAATTAGTTCTTCCCAGAACTTCTTAGTCTTGATGTAATCACCCCAATAATGTTCGTTGAAGAGTACAGAATATTAAATTCACTCATTAAGCCATTCTAAGTATTTTCCTGTTATTTTCTCTCTGTCTTAGTTCTAAATGTTTTCTTGCGAAATTTTAGGTTTTCACGGAGGTTCATAAGGTTATCAAGTTTAAAGTCTTCCGGTAACGGACACAGTGTAATTTGGTAAGTATAAAAGTTTAGGAGGTTCTCTTCTACATAGAGGCCAGACCGGCCATAGGGCTCACACAACCTACTCTCCAATGGGTACCGGTTTTTTTTTCTCGGGGTTAAAGCGACCAGGGGATAGAGCTGTACCTTTACTCCCCCCATATGTCTTCATGGCATAGAGCTTAATGAGTTAAGCACGGGGGCAACTTTAATTTTTTACCTAGTGCCTCCAGTTTGCACGAGGAAGAGAGATACTGAAGACAGAAGAATTAGATTCTTCCGAAACGTTGGTATCAATCTACCAATTACAGTCCGTCCCATTCCAGAAAGACAAGACAAAAATAAAGGAACAAAGTTTCATGTGTAGTGATTGAAATTTGAATAGCATGTGCTGTATTCACACCATCGACTTACATCAGCTACAAAGCCGCAAAATTAGCAACAAATGTCTAATACATTCCTATCCCAGTCTCTTTTGACGTTTCAAACTGGCCAGATCTGACGGCAGGCATGACGTCAGCTTCGCAGCAATATGTGAGAGCGCCTTCGTTATATCGTATAAACAAAATATAACACCGTGTGGCCTCAGTAACCTACTGTTCCAATGCCAACACCGTATAATTTTCAGATATGGAACAATATGGCGTCTGCGCGCAGTGATGAAGGGCGAGATTGTTCGCCCTCTCGTGTACCGTTAGATGGCTGTGAATACAGTGTGTGGAATTCTGTGAAGAGATTTAACAACAACTCTTTTTTTTGCATTAAGTGAAAGATATTTCTTTTCATCTATTCGGATGCTTGAACTTCGAAACTCAATAAGAATTTTGATGAAATTTAACATTAGAAGTAAGAAAGTGAAGTTGTCCCTGTGCACGGCTAATTAAACACTACACCATGAAAACGTATGGGGGAGTGGATGTACGGATCCAACTCTGGTCCGCTATCCCTCTTCAACGGCGACTATCTCAAGACTAACTCGGCGAATGCATTCAACCCCCTTACATAGGCGGGTTCCGGAACGGAGAGAACGCACCATTTTCAACAGTTCGGTTTCTGCTGTTTCGACAATCCTTTGTACGCAACGAACCTTCCATCTCTGGGGAAACGAGTTTATTGATTCTGCAATTCCTATGCAACGGCCCACTCTTACTGCCTTACCATGGAATTATCTACTCCAAACGTGTTACAGTATAAAGGTGAATAACCGGATTTATACTGGAGGAGTGTAGGGTTCGACTCTCGCCCAGGTTACCAGCTGTTTCTTCCAAATACTTCCCTATTCATCACTGAAATCTTGTCCCCAACATCTGTAGTTGGAAGTATAACCCGCGTTAAATAACATAAGAATACAATAATAGAGAAGTATTTTCAATTAAATGCACATATTCAGAGCCGGGATAGCTCCGTCGGTATAGCGACGGCCAAGGGTTCGGAGTTCGAGTTCCGGTAGAGTCTACAATTTTTTCTCCACGTCGTCCAGACCGGCTCTCAGGCCCGTCCAGCCTCCTTTCCACTGTGCACCGGAAACTCTTCGGGGATCAAGCGGCCGGATTGTGAAGCTGACCACTCACTTCCAACCAGTGCAGAGATCAAGAAAACTTGGATCTATGCATCCAGTATCCCATGAGCCTTCATGGCGTGGTGTTTAATTAGTTAAACACATCGACAATTTTATATTTTTACGAATATATTGTGCTTACATATAGCATATATTATGTTAAATTTTTATGATCAATATAAGAGAATGTATTTAAAGAGTGAATGGTAAAATGTTCGACTTGAGATCCATGTAAACCAGGAATTTACTGGACCAATATATATAAAAATTCAATTTTCAGAACACTTTAACGTAAATCGCTCCTTTATGCTTTCATTTCATGCCCTTTGTACAAAACCATATAAAATTCGTTCAGCTGATATTAAGTGACTGGTTACATGTAACAGAGGCCGCGCCATAGCTCAAGCGGTTAGTCGCTGGCTTCCCACCGCGGTGGCCCAGGTTCGATTCCGGGTCTCGTCAAGTGGGATTTGTGGTGGACAAAGTGGGGCTGGGGCAGATTTTCTCCGAGTACTTCAGTTTCCCCTGCCAATCTTCATACCACCAATTGCTCCACAATCACCCTCACCTATCATCTGGGGCTGGTACAATAGGCCAGAAGTGGCCGCAGTACAAGGGACTTAGTCCCACCCCACTAGCAATAAAAATACATGGAACAGAATCCATGTTGGGAAACTAATAGCCGCTCAGGTAGTTACGAAATTCTACCAAATTTACAGAACCGGAATTTTCATAACTGTTTTCACAAGAATCCATCACTGGTACCTCCCCTGTTCCCCCCTCCAAAAATGCAATATAGCCCGCACTATTTCTGTACTGTCCACTTTAATATTATCCATAATATCGTTAAATAAACAATTGGAGAGCAAGGGAAATAAAAAGGAAGACTTTGGCCGAGGAAGAAAAATACTGCATGTACTATGCGTGAAGTGAAATATTTCCACCAATATTTCATTATTAGGTTTAATGCATAAAGCGATTTATTTGGTATTTACAAGCCACGAAGCGCCAAAGTATTGAATAACATAAAATCATATTATGGCACAACATATTACGTTATGAGGTCCTAAATTAAATAGGAGATAATAGTACAATATTTCATCTTCTTAGTTCGTAGTAGTTCTGTCTCCCACTCTCATTACTATTCGAGGTATAAACGCACTTATTTCCTTAGGGTGTAAGGTCTGTATGTCCATTATTAAGCCGAGGAAAGTCACAATAGAAACTAGGAAAAGAAAGTCCAATTTGACCTGTCTCTTAAGTTCACCATTCTTGTTCCCAACATTGTGTCCTTGTTCCTCTATTCAGAAGAGAGAGAGACAGAGACAGAAATAGAACCACTAATAAGGAAGACGGTGGTTTGTTTCAGTGCACTAATATCTTTGTATCAGCTAAGATACCTTTTACGAACAACTGACTGTATATTTATTTACATAAAAAAGTCCAAAAACTGATATCAGTCCAAAGTAATCCCCACCATACATTTCAGAAATCTTCATTTTCCACGGAATGAGCCAACAAGTTACGAGAATTTTAATCTGATCTTTTCTGAGAGTTTATCCAACTCAGCTTGGTAAATGGTGGTATTACTCCGCTGGACGAACCGAGGAAAACAACAGAATAATTAGCAGCGTGAGTGAAGTGTTTGAATATATTCTCAAATAAAACATCTAATATATTGACAAAGGAGCTGATGTAGCGAGGTAGTTTCAATCAATCAATAGTTACATGAGAAAGATCTTACAGGGTCGAAACACGTCACAATAATAAAATAAAATAAAATAAAATCTGATTTTAATGATATTTTAAGAAATTTCAATTTGATTGTAATGATATTTAGAAATAAATATTTATTTTTCATTAGAGGCGGAAACAAGTAGACGAGTGATACTAAATCGTCATTTCAATCCTGAAGATGGATGCAATACATTCTTCCTGAAATGCTGCTAACCACCTGCAAGATTAGACCGTGTCACAGGAGACGTCAGTCTGAATTTGCACATCGACTTACCGCGATATAAGCTGACATCCCAGCTTCTTTCAACTGTCTTGAACCGCTGCCACAAACAAGAATAACAGCAAAACTAAGTTCATCGTATAAAATTCTGCGTCGCTGGAGTGCTCTAACTTATATGATTACAGATTACAGACTGTACGACAGCTCTGTTTCCACACTAACCGACACTACACATCACTTTAGAAGGTAAAACTATAGCTGAAGAAACAAGGGTTAATAATAATAATTATGAAACTCAGTTGGAATAAAAAAAAGAGACGATCGACGAACCTACCGGTTTGTTGACATTCTGTTGTGCTCTCAAGTGGGGCGGACGCGAAACAGTGTCATGTAATGGGAATAGGGCACAGTCAGCTTCTATTCCGTGGTAGTTGACAAAATGCACGGTGGATGGCACATGCCAATTTAATATCAAATTGTATAAGGTACTGGCTCATAGATGGCACCTCTGTTAATTTCGATGGCTGGAATAGGAATCTTTGTATTTCAGCATTTACTTCACAGATGTCAGGACCTAACAGTTGGTTGTCACGAACTTCGATTAAATAAATGAAGAATTCTATCTTCTCATATGTCCTCTGTAGCACATACATTATATTCGCCGTTACAAACGTTGGATAAGTTTATATTAAGATGTGTGACACAATATACAATTATACATAAAGATAAGTAACAGATGTTTTGCATATGTGGCACAGTTCAGATATTTGGGAACGACGATAACAAATCGAAACGATGGTTCAGGAGGAAATTAAGAGGTGATTGAACTCGGGTAATACTCGCTACAATTCAGTCCAGAACCTTTTTTCTTCGCGTCTGCTGTCCAAAAACATAAAAATTAGAATATACAAAACTATAATTTTGCCTGTAGTTCTGTATGGGTGTGAACGGTGTGAAACTTGGTCTCTCACATTAAGGGAGGAACATAGACTGAGGGTGTTTGAGAACAGGGTGTTGAGCAGAATATTTCGACCGAAGAGGGATGAAGTGACAGGAGGTTGAAGAAAATTGCATAATGAGGAGCTTCATAACTTGTACTCTTCTCCAAGTATAGCTAGAATGATCACGTCAAGGAGGATGAGGTAGGCAGAGCATGTAGCACGAATGGGGAGAAGGGGAATGCATATGTGAAGTTCAGAAGGAAAGAGACCACTAGGAAGACAAAGACGTAGGTGGGTGGACAATGGATCTTAGAGAGATAGGATATGATAGTATGGATTGAATTGATCTGGCTTAGGACAGAGTCCAGTGGAGGGCTCTTGTGAACACGGTAATTAACCTTCGGGTTCCATAAAATGCTGGGAAATTCTTGAGTAGCTGCACAATTGGCGGCTTCTCAAGAAGGGCTCAGCTCCATGAGCGAGTGATACAATATGCAGTTAATTTAAAAATTTTATTACAAGTTATTTAAAAAAACCGCATTAAGAATGGTTACTTTATCTCTTTCAGTACACTGAAGGCATAGATCTGGTTGTGTACTCCTGTTTAATCTTAGTAACTTTTTTATAAAACAAGGAATATATCTATCTACAAACATGGTGTCTGTGTTAATTGAAGCGTAATGCTATCTGATGACGTCCCAATTTTGTCTTCTAACAGCAGGTTTTCTCCGCAGTGTTGCCAACTGTAACAGAAATAAACAAAAATATTAATGACAACTCCGCCTTTGCATTCATAAGATTTGACATAAATGCGGTAATTGATTGTTTTCGTAGCACCGTCTGTGGGGTTTCGCTGCTTTCAGCACGGTGATGATGATAATAATGATGACAATGAAGATAATAAGGCAAGGTAAACTTGTTCCTGTGATTAATTAATTAAGCACCATGCCATGAAGGCATATGAGAGAGTGGAGGTATAGTTCCATCATTCTTGACCTCGGTACCAGATGGAGGTGAGTAGTTAGCTTCACGCCCCGGCCACTTTACTCCCTGGGAAAACGGCACATTTACCCATTAGATAGGAGGCTGGGTGGGTCCCAGTGCAGCTTTGGAAGTTGTGGAGTAGAGAAAAGTCCCTTGCTCCTGTCAGTAATCAAACCCTGGCCAGTTTATTTTAGTATGTGTTGGTCCTGCGCCTGCGCTCTCCCACTGATTGGAGTGCCTACCTAGTTCTGAAAGCCATTTCAACTCCTGAGTGTAACGAATGAACTGATGTTATGGAACGAGTAGAAATGCAATGCCAACTGGGGCCTACCTGTTCCCATGGTGATCCATGAGCGAAATGCGGTCCAAGAAGATATGCTGCTGCCCACCAATACGCATCATCCCTCGTGAGGGGGTGAATGTTATTGTAGCCGTCAGGTTAAGGTTGTTCTCCACACTCACGCTTCCGGGCTTTGCTGCGGCCACTACCGACATCTCTCGGCCGCCCTCTATAACTCCCAGCGAGCTGCACGCATGTAGGACATATTCACTGCCTGTGGTTTACAGCGTTTCGGAACTTGTTATTTCTCCCTTCTTCACGCTATTCGTTCGCCAGTACATTGATAGAGATTTATTTTATTTTCAATATGTGGCAACAATGGACTATATAATCCGGAAACATTTGAACTTGTATGTCAATAGTTACCTCATTAATATTCAAATGACTCCTGGTTCGATCCCAACCTCAGTAAATAATATCCAATATTGAAACAATTTATTTATTTGTGGTTTATTTACTGACGCTGCCTGTAGCTCAGATTGTGTAGCGCTGAATGGCGGAGTGACTAAAAACGTAAAGTTGTTCCTGTGCTTAATTTAATAAAGCATCGCGCCATGTAGACGTAGGGAGGAGTGAAGGTGTAGCTCAATTAATTTTAGCCTCGGCACTGGACGGAGATGGGTGGTCAACTTCACGTCCCGGCCGCTTTAACCCCTTTGAGGAAACAGTCCCTGCTACGCACTGCATAGGATCTTGGCGGAACCCAGAGCCGGTTCGGACGCTACCGAAGAACGAAAAATTTCCTGCCTCTACCGGGAATGGAACCCGGTTTCTAGGACGACTAATGTATGAAGAATTGTAAAGGGTTTGGAAGGAAGTTGTAGTGGCACATTTTAAGGTACTATCCCAGGCACTGATATGTTGGGTTTTTGGACTTTATCCATCGCCCTGGTTTCGGAAACTGGATCTGTTTCCGTCCTCAGGTGAGGTCCAAAAACCCAACATATCAGTGTGTTATACACCATCGTCAGAATCCTATAGTAACTACTATCCCAGGATTCGATTGGAGAGACTGGGGATAACCTCGAAATACCTTAATCTCCGTAGTCAGTGCCCTAGCCGAGATTCGAACCAGGCAGTTCCTGTGAGCAATTCAAAAGCATTACTGGGTGAGTAATCTTGCTTGGTGTTAAAGCAACACACTTATGTCAGTATAATGACTGGACTCTGTGCGTAGCCACTTAAGATGCCAGGACGAAAATATCTCAAACAGAAATCCATAGTATTATATTTAAGCATCCTGTTGCACTCCATACGATATATGCTATAACTCCGTCTTAAGTGCAAACTATTTGTTATAGGTCTTTCGTTTTGCTCTTTTTTACACACTATATGTTTCGGCCACAGACGGCCGTGTGAAAATAACAAAGATATCAACGAAGTAGATTTTGGTAGTAGCAACGAAAGTGAACAATCAGGAAGACCTATGTTTTTAAAGTTTAAATGTTTAACTAAGTTCAGTGTGACAGATACGTGAGTAATACACCTGATGATGGGCGTCTGTAGCCGAAACATGAAGTGTGTAAACAAGAGCAAAACGAAAGACCTATAATATTGTAGCGTGTCGCGCTAGCTGGACCCCGCCGGAGCTGACGCCCCGAGCGGAGCCGAAGTTAGCCGAGTCCCAGCATCCTGGTAGCTATGCAACGCGAGTCAACAGCGGTGACATAAGACGGAGTGAGGTAACAGCGTTGCTAGGCTATACGCAGACACTGTTACGTGGCACGCAACGACGCTGTTGACGCGGGCAACAGGTAACAGCGAACGGAATAAAAGCCGGCTGAGCAGTAAGCGTGAGAGAGTTGTAATGTGGCCGTTGGCGAGTTCAGTTGTAGTCGAGTTGAAATGTAGCCATCGCCGAGTTCAGTTCCGAGTTAGTTCCGAGCAAGCCTACGAGCAGTGTGTTATCAACAGTTCTCAAGGCAGCAGCCTACGAGTTGAGTTGGAGTATAGCAGCGCTCGCGGAAAAAAGAACCGGACATGTGTGTAATTGTGTAATTCCGAGTGTGTAATACAGAGAGACTTGTATAGCTCCCATACTGTAAACGTGTAGACTACTGAAGGCAGAGTGAATTGATTTGCGCATAGGGTTATAAAGTGTGAAACCCCGCAACTGTGTGATAGTTAATTGTAGCCGTTACATGTAGGTTGTTGAATAAACCAATTAACAATCTCTACGGCGTCTTCAGTAACGAAACACGTTACAATATATAGTTTGCACTTAAGACGGAGTTATATCATATATAGAAATCCATAGACTTTCATGAAGTAACTTCTAAATAAGCATTTCTGTCTTGATGAACTTTTACAGGAAAATTTAATAACATTCTATGTCAGTGAAGAGAAGATGTCAGGGTCGCTGTGAGTTCATGTTTTCCAATCTGTACTTTTTAGATAGCTTACGATAGGTTGAGTGAGAAGTCTGTAGCGGTGGCCCCGTGGTGTAATTTCATCTGAAGAACTCCTCGAGTTAGCAGAGTCATGGGAGAGATCCACACTGAAGCCCTCAGCTGCTGGCCTGGAGACGGAGAAGAGCATCTCATTCTTCAGAAAGGCATAGAGAAGGGAAACCAGAAAGAAACAAAGAATGGCTAGTTAAAGGAAAGGAAAGGAGAGGAGAGAAAAGGAGAGAAGAGCAGAGGAGTAGAGAGGAGAGGAGAGGAAAGGAGAGGAGGGGAGTGGAATGGAGTGTAGTGGAGAAGAAAGGAAAGGGATGGAAAGGAGTGGAGTGGAGGAGAGGAAAGGAGAAGGGGAGAGGAGAAGAGAGGAGAGCAGAGCAGAGGAGTGGAGAGGAGAGGAGAGCAGAGGAATGGAGTGGAGTGGAGAAGAAAGGAAAGGGATGGAAAGGAGTGGAGTGGAGGAGAGGAAAGGAGAAGGGGAGAGGAGAGGAGTGCAGAGGAGAGGAGAAGAGAGGAGAGGAGTGGGGAGGAAGGGGGAGGAGAGGAGAGCAGAGGAGTGGAGAGGAGAGGAGACGAGGGGAGAGGAAAGGAAAGGAAAGAAAAGGAAAGGAAAGGAGATAGGCAGAATCTGTAAAGTGTGGAAATAGCGACAGAGCTACAAGTAATTGTAGTAGTTACGAGTTAAATGTATAAGGTGTAGATAAATCCAAACAGCCAATCCAAAACCCGTCTAATAGTCACGCGTACCCAATACAGGTGGCAATATCAACGCATCTTTTGCTTATTCTTACATAGATCATCTTATCGGACTGCAATATAATCCCATAATATTTCCTGAACACAACTGTTGTGTAGATTTGAGGCCATCTATTACATAACGGCCATATTATTTTGGTGTTACACAAAATGAGTGTTACAACAACCGCATAACTAACAGAAATGTACATGTTGCAGTAGCTAATTACATCACTAGCGCAATTCCGCATATCTGCTTTCCCTTAACTCACATTTCATGATGTGACTTAATTGCTTCGTGATTCTGTTCAGCCACTCCATCAACCGGTCTACAATTCTAATAAAATTCCAAATAACCGCACAGTCTGAATACTTGAAATGAAGGTATGAAACATTTTGCAATCGAGGTCAGAAGAATACGATTTTCCTGAGAGTACTCATCGCCTATGTGAGAGGCGTGAATTTCTCTTAACAAAATGATAAATTTAAATTCCTAAAATACTTTCGGGGAGTAAGCGAACTTATAATAATAAAAACGTATATAGTCATATTATTGAATACATTCTCTTGCTCTTTTCGAAGCAAAAAATTTAATTTGTATTAGTACAATGTGCCAACTTTTGCAGATAGAGGGTGTCATGCGGTCAGCGCAACGAATCCCCACGGCCGTTAATTTCGGTTTTCTAGACCGGAGTCGCTATTTCCTTGAAATAGCTCCTCAATTATCATCACGAGGCTGAGTGGACCCCGTTCCAGACCCACTACTTCTCAGAAAATATCTGGTAGAGCCGAGAATCGAACCCGGACCTCTGGATCTGTAGACAGGAACGCTGACCACTAGAGCACAGAGTCGGCACTAAACTTCGTCGACAAGCGGCGGTCGCTCGGTCGGTATAGTTCGCTTGCGGACTCGAACCACGGAATTCCTTTTTTAGTACAAAGTAAAAATTTGGTAATAAATATACATTGTTACTTACTTAAATGTAATAACGCCTGTAGGTTGCTTGGAATAGTTTCGTTGCCATTAACTCCTCGATATCTGATATACACGTATTGTAATTTTTTTTTCTTTTTACAATTTGCACGCAGGCCACATCAAAGTGCACTGCGGGCCGCTGGTTATTTCCCACTGGACTATACTACTCATAGTTAATCTACCTTCTGTTGCTACAATGTAGATGAAGAACTCTAAACTCCCAGAGCAATGTCATGTTTTCCGACGTTCTTTATATATATATTTCCGGAATGGTACGTCGCTATACATATTCTTTTTTACAAACATGGCGAATGACCGAACATCTGCGACGAGAGTGACGCTAATCTTTTTTAATGGGGGTCCTGAAATGTATGTGGTAATACAAAATTAGAGTAAAATTTTCTGTATGCTTAATTAAGTAAACACAACGCCATGCAAACGTATGGCAGAATGGAGGTATAGCTCCATCATTTTTGACCTCAGCATTACATGAAGGTGACTGGTCAGTTTCACTACCCGGCCGCTTTGCTTCAAGGCAAATGACCCCCGCTACCCATTGGATAAGGGACTGAGTGGGCCCCAGAGCCTGTCTGAACACTGTGAAGTAGAAAAAAAAACTCTTACTCCTACCGGGAACCGAACACCGGTCGTCCAGAACGTAACCCATCGCTATATCGACCCAACTATCTCGGATCTTGGTAATGTAAAATTTACGCCCTTTATTCGATCATATTCTTAATGTGAATGAAAAAATAAATTTAATAAATTTCATATATTTCTTTCGATGCCCCTGTGGTCTAGTGGTCAGAATTCTTGACTACAGTTCCAGATGTCTGGGTTGGATTCCCGACGCTACCAGATTTTCTGAGAAGTAGTGGGTCTGGAACGGGGTCCACTCAGCCTCGTGAGGATAACTGAGGGACTACTTGAATGGAAAAGTAGCGGCTCAGGTCTAGGAAACCGAAATTAACGACCGTGGGGATCGGTTGCGCTGACCACGCGACACCCTCTATCCGCTAAAGCTGACACTAACTTCGCCGAGAAGCGGCGGTTACTCGGTCGGTATAGTTCGCTTGCGGACTAAAACCACGGAGTTCTTTTTTGTTTTCTGGTCATAGCCAGTGAAACATTGGCTCTAAGCATATGGAATTTGGTGTGCATACAAAACATGGACACAGCTTCGAATTTTGAGTGAAGTATTTGTTATATGTCGACAACTGCAAATATGGCGAAGGTGAAGATATTTTATGTGTCTTACTTACTTACTTACTCATGGAGCTGAGCCCTTCTTGAGAAGCCGCCAATTCTGCAGCTACTCAAGAATTTCCCAGCATTTTATGGAACCCGAAGGTTCATCACCGTGTTCACAAGAGCCCTCCATTGGTCCCTATCCTGAGCCAGATTTATCCAATCCATACCATCCCATCCTATCTCTCTAAGATCCATTCTATTATTGTCCACCCACATACGCCTTGGTCTTCCCTGTGGTCTCTTTCCTTCTGGCTTTCCCACCAATATCCTATACGAATTCCTCGTCTCCCCCATTCGTGCTACATGACCCGCCCACCTCATCTATTTGATCCAAATATAATATACTTGTGTGTACAAGTAAAATTGTCCCTGCGTTTAATTAGTTAAGCACTGTGTTATGAAGATACAGGAGGGGAATGCAGGTATAGCTACACCTTTCTTGACCTCGGCACTGGATGGAGATGAGAGTTCAGCTTCACGCTTTTTCCGTTTTTACCCCAGTACCCATTGGACAGGAGGCTCTGTGGGCTCCAGAGCCGGTCTGGACGTTGTGAAGAAGATACTTTTGGGTACTAGCGGGGATTATGGACAGAAATTAATCATTAATTTCAAAATAATTATGTAGGATTTGCACTTCTTACAGAGGTGGTTATGAAGAGTTTCTTTTCCACCTTCTGATATGTATCTTTAAACGGACTACATGGCTTTATGGCCCAGAAGATAAAATTCTTTATATAGTAGTTTACGGACCCCCTTTGCCTCACAGTACAGATTAAACACCTATACTGGAGGAAGATTCAGAATTTATTCCAAGAATTTATCGTTGTTTTAAGTGACAAATAAATTGCACGTATTCCCACTTACCACAGTATGGACTGGTAGGTCTTGTAACCAAGTACAGAGAGCCTCGAGCCCTGCCCACTTGCCCCATGACCCCACAGGCTGAGGTATCCTCGTCACATGACCGAAAACAGTTCCCATGTAGGAAGTCCCGCTGGAAGTCGCGAAGTCCTGGGCATGAGAACCCTAAGAATTGGCAATGCTTGGATGTAAGCATCTCCAGGAATATCCCCCAGGATCTTCCATGGCTGCACACTCCACTAGAGTTAGCGTTATTATCTGCAGAAGGGAGACGTAGCAGACTAAATGTACGAAATGAAACGCTTAGTTGAGAAACAGACAATAACTAAGTCAGTGAAGACATTTCGTACCAGAGAATTCATTACCACTTCTCATGTGGTAGAGACTTGGCTGAACCCCGAGCCAGCTGATTAAGGTCCACCTTCTAATATCGCTTCTATTTAAGATTTTCTTTAATATTATCATGTCTATGTATGGGGTTTAGATCGGTTTTTTTAATTTATTGAACCCTTACAACCTGTGACTACAAGTAATTATAACTGTTTCACTAATTCACACACTTGATAGTTCAATACAGCACAGACTTAAGTCTTCTCAGCCTGCTGTGTCTTCACCAGTGTTTTGGTAATGGCTTCCAATGGCAGACATTCCCCTTCCTCTGGGTTCCTGAACTGTCCTGTCCTCAGCTACAGCAACTCTCGACTGACTCACTCATCAACCAACTCACTCCACTTCACTAACTGACTGAACTCCACTAACTGTCCTGCTTACAACATCTCGGAACGGACCATACGTAAAACACCGTTCTTCTGTTGCTCTTTCCAATTGTTGCCGTGAAAACATGCTTGTTCGTGAAGCTGCTGTAGAGCTGATTATTTCGTGGTCGTTGTATCGCAACGGTTCTACACGCTACAATATTATCCTCCTAACGAAGCCTAGTGATCTCAGACTATCGCTTCCCACCAGACGATCGTATTAAATGACTGTAAGCTCATCTCTCTCACGCATGTCTTGTGTTCTGCACAAATTGCTATTGTTCAGCTTTTAGTGGGGTGAGACTGAGTCCACTTGGTAAGTCTGCCACTCTTTGGCCTATTGTACCAGCCCCAGATGATAGATGATGATTCTGGAGCAACTGGTGGAAAGAAGATTGGCAGGAGAGACCGAAGTACTCGGGGAAAACCTGCTCCAGCGCCACTTTGACCACCAAAAATCCCACTTGACCAAACACGGACTCGAATCCGGGCCGCAGCAGTGGGAATCCAGTATCATTGTTTAATTGCTCAGTGTAAAAATGTGCACTGAAGAAACGAAATTACGAGCGCTCTGCTGTCCCTCTTCAATTTGAATAACGCTTAAAAATTCAGTTCGTACCTCTCAGGAAACACAGTTTGTCTCATTTATAACAACATTCGGTTAATGATATTTCATGAAATAACTGCGGCCTCTAATAGATTCTAAAGGGTTCTGACGATGGCGTAAAACACTCAGAATTACTGGGCTTTTGGACTTCGTCCATCGTCCGGTATTCTAGAGAATAGAGAACACAACGTTTCGAAAACAGAATCTGTTTCCGTCCTCAGGTGAAGGGGGGAGAAAACACCTATCGGTGCTTGACATTAGCTCTTTCTAAGGGACCCAACTCGCAATTTCATATTCTTGCCTTTGTCTCAATCCAGTCTTCTCTCCATGTGCGAAAAATTGTCACTCGTGTGTCATTTTGGGGGCACGCGGTAACGTAGTTGGTTGAGGCACTAAGCTGCAAGCCGGAAAGTCGCGGGTCCGATTCTTGATGAGGTCCTAGGATTTCCCAATTGACCTAATCCTTCCAGCTGCACTATGGCCCTGGGGTCGGCTCAGCCTCTAACGGAAATGAGTACCAGGAATCTTCCTGGGAGTAAAGAGCGGCTGGCGTGTAAGACTGACAAACTTGCCGCCTTATGTGAGTCGATTGTGTAGATAATGTGGGAGCCTCGACGTCTCACAACACTTTGGGCCCCCATGGCCTGTTACAGGGACAGCTTTACCTTTTATTTTTACTTTTAACACGTGTCATTTTGGTTCCGACGTGAGCAACACTGGATCACGGGCAGGAAAACTGAAGGCTGCAACTGTGAACCTATTCACTACTCCATCTAAAGGAGGCGCTGCGCTGCTTACTTATCCTGAAGGCCAGAGCGCCGACGTAGGTGTCGCGGCATCCAGGCTGATCGACTCCACCGTTGGGAAAGTAGTCCACGTGTCCGACAGGAGAAAGAAGTCCGAAGCCGTCCGACCAGATGCGGCTACCGTCCGTGTGTATCACTTCCACATACTTGGCGTCCGAATGGTCCAGCCTTCGATACGCGGGCAGAGTCCACGACTCGAACAAGAACGACGCCGGGTCAAGACCTCAAAAAATACATAATCATATGTAGCGTCGTTTTTTGAAAGAGAATTCGACTTCTGGTTAAAAGGTAAATGTTACAAAAACATGTCTGCACAGTAAACCAAGCAACTATCAGATTCTCCACGCAGAGGCGCACTTTCAATCTCAGGGCACTAGACAGTGTAACACTAAGGAAGGTTCTCTTCTGTCATTGGTCACCGTTACGAGCTGATTCCAATGTGAGGTTTTCTGTATTTTGAGACCGTGTAGTCTGGTACGTGGTTACCAACGTTTCGGAGTAACATACTGCCTCTATATTCAGGGTAGAATCATTCTACTGTAAATGTGGACGCAGTATGCGACGATCCTCGTGTAAAGCTGGAGAAAGTGAGTTCCTTCAAGACGTTGGTATTCACCTACAAGACTATACGGCATCAGAATACAGAAAAACAAAATATGGATATTTGCATTTTATGGTATAGATGTTGCTAGCAGATCTAGCAACGGCGGAAGATATTCTGGATTTTCCCTTAGTATCGCAGCCGCGATCCCATTGTTGTCACGGGTACATTATTGCTATAATTTTATTATATAAACTCCATTGTTATGGGCCATTTTGTCACAATCTCACTACTGGAAGAGCTCCATTGTTGTCAATATCCAATTGTTACCACTAATCCAGTGTCTTTAATATATTTTATTATTTAACTGCAAATGGGTTTTCACCCGGTGGCAGTGGTACTACAATAAGACAACAGACAAATACCACACATAAACACGTTCCAACAAAACACAGCACACAAACATTAGTAGAAAAGTGAAACATGCTGTGTATATAATAAACTAACAACAATGAATGCATAATGTCGTGTTCTCATTTCCCCTTCATCTCGCTTTAATCCACTTATGTAATTCTCCCATCCTTAGCACTTTTCACTTCATAGAAACAATGAAGAAATTAACTGGCTTGGGCTCGAACCCATGGACTTTTTCAAGTTCCTGAAACCTTCCGAAGCAGTTCCTCTATCACCATGCCAAATACAGTCGAAATAAGAGCAATGACGTATAAATATACAAATAAGAAGGAGATAGAGACACAGATTCACGCTTTCGTAGCCTACGGCTCTGTTAGCAATTTTGTTGTTATCTTCCTTCTATGCTTGTGTCTTCCAAGTGGATCAGTGGATGCAGTCTTACCTGTAATCCTACCGAGTTTTAGCCCGTAACTCTTGAGCGTTTCTCCAATGAAGCCTGCAACCTGCGCACCAAGGCTGAAGCCAATGACGTGAATATCGGACGCGTTTGTGCCCATAGTCACCATGGCAACGAGCGTCTTGCCTACTTGGCGACCAACAAGTTCGGCGTTAGACACAGCCCTCGAGTACTGACCCTTGGCTGCCCTCTGCCAGTTCACCAGGACCACATTCGCGTTGTCCTGAGAAAATATGAAGACAATATCAAGGATGCTGTGAAAAACAAGCCCTAGAAAGCTAAGGATCTCTTTAGTGCCAGGACACACCGAAGACCAGACAGCAAAGAAGACAGAGCTAAGCATTAGTCCAGGCTTTACACGAATATTCGTGCAACACCCGTTGGGAGTCTGTTACTTCAACAGACTACATACCAGAGGGGGAACGCCGGGAGAACTCAGTATAGCGACTAGCTACGGGCTGGACGACCGAGGATTCAGAGTTCGAGTCCCGGTGGGTCAAGAATTTTCTCTTCTCCATGTCGTCCAGACCGGCTATGGGGTCCACCCAATGGGTACCTGGGCTCTATCCTCAGGCGTAAAGCGGCCGGGGCGTGAAGCTGACCGCTCACCTCCAACTAGTGCCTACGTTAGGAAAATGTGATCTATACATCCACTCTCCCACACGCCTTCATGGCGTAGTGCTTAACTCGTTAAGCACAGGGACAACATTGCCCTTTACATACCAAAGGGCAGTACTTCTTATCTGTTACATTTACCATTTATTTTCCAACTCACTTTTAAAAACAATATTGCATACTGCCAACTTTCTTGTTTCTTCCTTAATCACAATTGCGGATCGCAGTTGCGTCCGGTCTAAGGGATGAATTATATTCGTCCGCTCAAACATTGGAATCGTGGGTTCGAATCCCACTCAAGACATGGGTGTCTGTTTATGTTACGTAACAGCTTTGAGACGGACTGATCCCCTGTCCAAGGAGTCCTACCGACTGTCTTGGTTTAAGAAACTGAAGCGAAACGAGGCTTTCACGGATGTCCCATGCGCCAAGTGAGAGCAACAGGAATAGAAGAATCACCATTAGGTCAATAATCTAGTCTACACCCTGCATTGTTTGTAGGATAAAGCCTTACCGCTTGCAGAATGGCATTCTTGGCAGCTATGACATTGGGTGACTTGTATTGGCCCCCGTATCCATGAACAATTATTTTGACTGGTAGTCCAGGATCGAAGACAGAATCTTCTAGTGAGTTCTTGTCAAAGGTGATGAGCTGTGTTGTCGCGTTCAGAGGGTCTGGATTGGCTCTCGTACAGATCCATAGGCCGGTCTGAAGTTTGCGGGGATGGTCCGGCACTCGGCGCAAGTGGGACAGGAGTCCCCGCACGTGGAAACAGCCCAGCGCGTCTGCATTAAACAGACAAGTCGATTAGGGTTCATCTAATGTCACGATTGTTAACACTCAGTATTTGCAAGGTCTCTGGTTCAGATCTTGACGAGGAAGTTGACTGTACTGATGGGTTTTCCTAAATCGATTTAGAGGAAAATGTGATTAAAATCTTTGGGATCATTCAGGCTACCCTGATGAGATTTCGTCGGTCCAACTCCAGAAAAATGTAGACCAAATCAATGTAAACAGATAATGTTAAGTGTGGTATTTATTTATTCCAATATATAAATCAGACTTCTTAAGGAAATATCAGGGTCATGTAAAAGAAACGGCCTCTTTCTTACCATAACAGATAGATTTTCTTCCTAGTCTTTGTAAGTACACTATTCTGCTCACAAGATGGTCCCACAATCGCTGTCCCGGGTCAAGCCATGACATTATGCTTCTGAGGAGACTAGCCTCTGGAAAAGAAGAGATATATACATATATCCCAGTACTAGTTTCACTATCATTACACCCAGAAATGGTGTTCTGATAATGGTAGTTCCCCATGTTGTCACACTTCTTCCATTCATATCGTAACGTATCAGGATTCTGCGTGATTTATAGACGGGGTTTGGATTGAATGATTCGATCTATTGACACTTTATACATTCACATAACTCGGGACTACAGGCAATACAGCGCTATCGCTGCTCTACACACTTTATGGTTCACGGTTGCACACGCCTAGGGTTCTCAGTATTCACTAGTCGTGTCCTGGCAACGGATTTATAAGAGTGTCATTGTANCTCCATGTTGTCACACTTCTTCCATTCATATCGTCACGTATCAGGATTCTGCGTGATTTATAGACGGGGTTTAGATTGGATGATTCGATCTATTGACATCCTATATATTCACATAACTCGGGACTACAGGCAATACAGCGCTATCGTTGATCTACACTTTATGGTTCACGGTTGCACACGCAGTAGGATTCTCAGTCTTCACTAGTCGTGTCCTGGCAACGGATTTATAAGAGTGTCATTGTAACTGCAGCACACTATAAAGTCTTCTTTGAACAGCCTAATTCCTTTCTTGCCATTATTCTGCCAACTGGCAACAGCGGAGGCTCAATTCTCTGCTGCAACTGCCGACTCCTGAACTCGACTCAATTCTAATTCCAGCTGTGTGAGATCATCGTTATATAGCCTCGGGGCTGCCCCCACAGAAAACTACGTTTACTGTATTTTTGCATATTGATTCACTGTTGTACAGGTGTGTTTACCATACTGTTGCGTAGCAACGCGCGCGGAGCGGACCACAAGAGGAACATCGTTCTTCTTTTGTTGCTCGCGTTAGCTTCCGCGTGAATGTGTTTACCTACCCGTTGCTAAGCAGTGAAATATTCCGGCTTCCACGTGTCATGTCACAATATTATGACAATCCGCACACCTTCTGCATCACTGTCCTTCTCAGTACACCGAAAAGCAGACTTTTTACTGTTCAGATTTTCCTCAGTCTCTCCAGTCAACTTTCGAGACAAGAGCACCAACTTCAACTTAGGCCAAGATGAACTTCCTTCAGGCTACTTTCCAATCATTAATGAGTCATCCTATACAATTATTGATTTGTGGACGTTACACATCTTTCCGATGTTTAAAAGCAGAAGAGGGTTTCGGAGAGTGGACTCTGCCTCGGTCCTCAGGAAAACGGCGCATTCAGTTGGCTCCAATCAATAGAACTATTCCCCATCTCCGTACCAAATATCAAAACAATAATATACGAAATTTTATATTTTAACTTTTTTTATTGCTAGTGGGGTGGGACTAAGTCCCTTGTAC